GCGGCTTGGAGCGTCTCGTCCCATCCCTTTTTGAAGAACTCTTTGTTGTTCTCCTCAAAGGCGGGTAGTATGTTATCAGCAAACTCCTCTCGGATTTGCTCATCAGACTTCCTATTCTCTGTTTCAGCCCTGATCCTATCAAGCTCCTGGGTCAGAGCTCTCCTCCGACTTGACGATCCTCACCTCGGTTGCAGAAAGACGCTGCATCTGCTCCGTAATCCTCCTCTCAGCCTCGGCCAAAGCGGTACTTAACTTTTCAACGCCAACCTTTGCCGATTCACTGTCCTTGAGCAGTTGCTCAATCTGAGCGTCCTGGCCCGCGAGGATGGAGTCCCTGGCAGCCACGTCCTCGTTAGTAGTGGCCAAGGCTCCTTCAACCTCTTCCCTCTACTCTTGGGTTCGTTGAAGGTCCATTCTGGCTGCATGGTATCGTGCAGCGATTATGGAAATTTATTGAGTGGCCTACGAGGGAAAGAACTTGGTTAATTTGTCGGTGATACAGTAAGGAAAGACCAAACCAAATATGAACTTACCACCAGAGAGTTCTGAATGATGGAACGGAACAATGTGTTTGTTGTCCACCCCCTGTGAGCCTCCATGTCGGCCTCGAAGTGGAACGTCTCGCTCACTGCATTGGCGACATGGGGGTCCTGCAGAATAGAGTTATTGACCCTGATCACCCGGTTCATGTGATCAGTAGCCCGAGGGTTCCATTCTGTAGCTTTCACCGTCTAAGGCAGGGGAGGTGGAGTTTGTCGCTTCTGCTGCTGTCTTTGTTGTTGTTGTTGCTGCTGGGGTGAAGGGGGCAACCCACGGCCCCTCCCGCTTTCTTGTTGAGCGGAGGAGGCCCTGGACCCCCTACCAAGGCCGTCGTGCCTTAGCTTGGTCCTTCTCTCCTCTTTAACTTGAGGATCTCGATCACGCACCTGACCCCGACCAGTGGCCTTCGAAGGTGGGGGGTTGACGTTGGTTCCTATTGATGGGGCACCGCTGGTTGACCCTCGTCCTCTCCCTGTGACAAGGGTCTGCCTCAGCCTCAGCAAACCTAAGTCTATGCGGGGGGGAGGTGACACGGCTACCTCAAAGGCGTCCTCGGCATCTAGGGACTGGAGGATGTGGAAATCAGGCCACGAATCTCTCCTTGAGGTTCCCACCTTAGCGAGCAAAGGATCAAAGGTCTCTCTGGTCCCGAACTCTTCAACTTCAAAGGCGCTCTCTACTTCTGCCTCAGTAGCCCTATCAGGATCTTTCTCCAAGTTCTGCTCGGCCTCTTGTTACGCTGTCTAATTAAGGAGTTCAGACCACTGCAAAGGGTTAAAAGATTGGGGGAGTTGTAAAAACTTTTTGTACCCTACTATACAGTTCAGAAGAAGATGAGCGGCCTGGCCAAACCCGTCGTCGCCAACAAACTGCCAAATAGTGATGAGGTCGGCAAAGTTTACCAAAGAGCGAGGAGGAGGAGTGACTTCCCAAGCAGAGATGTCTGCACAAAAAGAAAAAAGGTTATCAACGCTTGCAAAATAATCCAAGGACAGTGAAAAATTGGACTCGAAGAAGCCAACGTATTTGTTGTTCTCCATTCAAGGGGGTACCTCAGACCATCGTGCTCAGGAGCGGTTCCCCGCTCCCAAGATCCACTGAAGATCAAAAAGTCATCCTTATACCCTTTATCCGAATTAGGGAGGTGAGTTACAAGGTACATGGATGACTCCCTGATTTTGAGGTAGAAGTTCTGCTGGGGCATGACCCTCAATAGGGAGTAGCAAAAAAGGATATCATTGAGCCCAACATTTATCCCGAGACGATTATTAAGCTCTAGGACCCCCATTATTATCCTAAAGACATTAAGGCAACACTGCCCTGGGAAGAGGTTGAAATGGGAGAGGAACTGGAGGAGTAGAGGAGGCAGGGGGAACCTAATTCCATCCTCTATGATCGCCTTGGTGTAAAAAGGCATCGCATCCTCGGCCCTGAAGTTACGGCTATGCAGGACTGAGTCGTACTCTTCTATGCCTATGTTCTGGGGATATGATATCGGGCCCTAAACCTATTTATCTGCTAGTCTCCCTTCACTTTGTACTTCCCTAACCTAGAGGGACTAGCTTGGGGATCCTCGGTGGCGGAGCGGTGTCGGGGCATCTCTAATAAAGAAAAAAGGGGGAAAAAGGAAAAAGGGTTTTTTCTACAAAGAACCCCAAAAGGTCCCCTGAGGGTTGGTCAAACGATGACAAAACAAAGTACCTCCGATTACCGAAAAATGAAAAGCAAAACCCAGAAGAAGGATGAAGAAGGAGGATGCAAGGACTCACCAGAATGTGAACGAAGACTTCTAAAGAACGTGGAGTGGTTCCTTTCTCGAGAAGGTTTAGAAGCAGGAGGGGGGTTTGCTAGTCTAAACTCCGGTGATGACTGATTGACAGACGATGTGACAAAGGGGGTCTCCGACGAGATTCCCGATGAAAGATCTCTGAGAATTCGAAATGGTAAAAGTGTGGGAAAGAGAGAGAAAGCCTGTTTATATAGTGTGCCCATCCCCATCATTGGGCATGAAGCACAAAGAGGCGCATTTAATGCGCACGACCTCCCAAGCAACAAAAAATGACTGAAAGCAATGATGGGTGGTTGGGGCAGTTGTAAAACCCTTCGTCTTTTTACGACGCGTGTCCTTAGCGTCAGAAGATCGAAGGCTGGGGGGCAGTTGATGGGACATTTTCAGACACTCCCAGATGACGACACTTGTACTTGACGTCAATGGAGACTCTCCGCTGTGATCTTGACAATTCTTTGTCGGTTATAACCCCCTGCCCTGAGGGTACTATTCGTAGGGGGGTCAAGGATCCCCAATATGCCATGGGCCGACATGTATTCCTCGGTTAGTTTGGGTATATTGGTCCTTATCATACCAGTCCCTCGACACCGAGGTGTGTCTGTCCACGTGGGCGTTTCTGCTCCTGCAGGGGCTATTGATGGACAGATTACTAACCTAGGCTGGGCTAGACTAGCCATCATGATCTCGTCCTACTCAAATGGTGTCAGGAGGCACAAGAAAGCAGAAAGCTCAACCAAAGGGGAATGGACATGTGGCAAACTGTGTCAGATCAGAGGCAAAAAGACCAGAATGCCCTTGCTGACACACGACTTGGTAAAACGGGCATTTAATGCACCCTTTCCTTGATGAGACAGCATTTAATGCATAAGAGCCTGGAAGTGAAAGGTAATAAATGTTCCGATGCTTGGGCATTTAATACACCCCCGCCGAGAGAAAGTCATTAAACACTCGGCAGACCGAGGAGAAAGCATTGATTGTATGAGGCCCCGAACAGTTAAGAATGAGGACATTTCTCATAGAAATTAGCATGCACACTACCCACCTCTAATGATTACCTACTAGCTACGCTGTTAACAATGATGAGTTTTATAAGGTATAAATAGTCTTCACAAACACATTAAAAAGGGACGCAAAAACCCTTTCTCGAGGATTATATAGTGTTTTTTTTTTCCTCCCTCAAAGAACTGACTTGATTGTCGGAGAGGATACGTCGAAAAACACTCTGGCGCCCTTCTAACCTGTTTTTCTGTGTTTCAAGAACCTCTCTTAGCCTCCTAGGACCAATATGACGACTCATAAAAATAATTCATTATCCCTCCTTAGGCCACCTTCGGCCCTCACAACCTGTCCCAAGTAACAAGATTGACCACTTGATCGACGGACTCGTGTTCACCACGGAAGATATCTGTTTTTGTGTTTATATTGTGCAAGATTGTGCACACACACATATAACTCCCTCTAAAGAATTTCAACAATCAAAAATTAAAATCATTTAAAATTATAACCATAGAATAAATGTGGGGCTGAAATTATTAATATGAATAAATAATAACAAAATTTAATTTTAAATCATATATACTAACAGACTTGTTGTCTCTATGTGTGTCTGTGTGTGAGAGAGAAAGGCGGTAGTTCTGTGTAAGACAATGCAGGTGAGTTTATAGTGGTGCTTCATCTTCATATGTGTATTTATAATTTCTTTGAATAGTATGTTTTTGGATTTGTTTTGATTTTTCATTGTATTGTTTCAGACGAGAGCAGTACAAGTAGGTCATGTATCAGATCTAGCCAGTGAGAGAGAAATTCACGAGTTTTTCTCATTTTTCGGTGAAATCGAATACATTGAGATCTGCCGGTTCGTTGTTCTTTCATCTTTCTACTCTACGTGTGTGTGTGTGTGGTGTATTTTGAGGTTTTGAGTGTATTAAGGCTTGATTTTGGCTGTTGCATTTGTTACATTTAGAGATTCAAAAGTGCTTAAAATCGCATTGTTGTTATCGGTAATTCCTCGATTTTACTTTTAACTCCTGCTGGAAACCATGTACTACAGCCTGAGATTCAGGTAATTCTCTCCATTACTGCTGCAATATTTTTTTCAAATATTGAAATGAAATTTATATTGTCGGGTTAATTCATGCAGGAAGTAAGACTGGTGGACAATGCCTCGGGCACGACTTAGGAAAATGCTTCACATAATGCTGAGGTAACCAAATACACCGACATATTAGTCTGCTACATGGGAAAAACTTAGATTAATGTTCTATTGTATCACAAATTTTCTTACATCAAATTAATAAGCAAAATGTGTATATTTGTGCTGGATAAAAATCAGTGTCTACTTCCAGATGAGTTACTTTTCGGCAACCAAGTCTACCATGCATTCTTAATTTTTATTTAAAGAGGTTTTTGTTTGCAGGGGCTTTCTCATTGATATTCCAGCAATTAGAAGTAATTCTGAAAGATAAATTTTGTACCGAAAAGGCATCAGTAGCTGCCTCGTACTCTAATCGTTCATGATAACTGTGTATGATTTGCTGAACTCATACTTGTTAAGATTAAAATTTGTACCATATTTTTGGAAAATTTACAATGAAAATGTCGGAATTCTACTTGTAGCAGTTGAGTGGAAAAAACGTTAAATATCTTTTCTTGTTGAAAATTTCTAACCAACATGGCTGCTGAATTTAAGGCTATGTTAGATGGTTTAAATACGCTGATGGGTTCTCCTCTGACTATAGTTCGATCCTGTTCTCCAACGCTCTACATGTGAGCCATGCTTGTTTTGGCTGCATGCTTTATGGTTTACAGTTGCAAAGCTCTTTGTTTCAAGAATACACTGACAAAAATTGGACAAATAAACTAGATTACATCTGCTAATGAAGGATATTGGTTGTTATATAGGATTTATATAGACCTTCTGGATGCTGAAAATCATTTGAAGATACTTAAAATAATTCTTGATAAAGAAAATCTACAATCTGGATTTCAGTTTGAACATCTTTCAAATGAGACCGAAGGGTATTCAGGGAGTGATTTGAAGGTAATTTACTGATTTTTATTGGTTGTCTGCTTATCGTTGTCTTCTATTTCTTATAGTTAAGTCTTTTGCAGAACCTCTGTATCGCCACAACATATAGACCTATCCAAGAACTTCTGGAGATAAAAATGGAGGTAAGTGCATCTGGCCTTAAATTTTACCTTCTATCCTCTAATAATATTACTCAGATTCTCCCCAATTTGCTCCTTTTTTCTTAGTAGTCCATTTGCCAAATTCAGGAATGCCATAGGGTTTCAGAATTATCGGACTATGATAGGATAGAATGCCACGATACCTTAGTCATTGACTTTTGAGAAAGTGGCAGGCTCATTTACTTGTCTAAGAAGAAGTGTCATCATTGGGAATTTGGTGGTGTTATGTCTTTTTCTGGAGACCTGGTGTATGACTTGAGTCAGGTGAAATACTAGAAAAGCAATTTCAAATGGGAAATGTTTATTGTTTGACTAAAATATGAGTAAAGCTGCACAATAGTACGTGCTTTTGTTCTGATTCTAATAGGAATCTGTTATAGCGAGCATGTTAAATTGATTGTCTATGCTAGATTTTATTCCTGAGGGTTCCTTTTTCTAAAAACATTTATGGTAGCAGCGACATTGACTTGTGCTGAAGCCTACTATCAAGCTGCCCTTCCTCTCTTTAGCTTCTGGTCTATAGCGAAGCCAATGGCAGAAACTCTACCAGGTTATGGAGATGGTGATCATCACTTGAGTGGCAATTGTTCTGGAATAGACTTATTAATTTAAGAAGACAATCTAAACGCCTGAAACTGCTATTAACCTTAACTACATCAAGTTATACCTTTTTTTGTAAGGGAATAAACTGCTATGAGTGCTGATAAATTACCCATAGGTCCAGTACTCCTTCCTGTATGGTTTCTAAGTACTGACAGTTTCTTTTGTTGCTTGATGTTTAATAGCTGATGGCACTTGTTTGTTTTGGTCACTAGCTTGTGTCATTTTTATTGTCTGTTACAAAAAATGAATAAATACATTTAATTACCCAATTTTTTTTTTTTTTTTGCTCGTGCTCTTAATTAATTTTGCTGCTTGTCATTAATATAGGTTATCCCGAACAAGTAATTCAGATGGAGAAGCCGAAGAAGCCTACTCTAATGATTAAATGCTTATCTTGTTGCATTTTTGTCACTAAATTGATTGGAAATTTTTTTTGTACAACTTAATGGCAACGTGGATGTAAAATTTTCATGACTTGATTAAATTTTCATGGACGAGGTAGTTCTCTTTTGTTACAATTGTGTAACCGGTAACTCTGATAACTTGTCTTTGAGCATATGAGGCATCATTTTGTTCGCAGTAGAATGCCGTGGATGGAAGGGTGCCAATCCATTTTGTTCGCAGTATTGTTAGCAGCTTGACTATCCATTTTTCATCTGATGGAGGATCTGGGAATATTTAAAATTCTCATTTTAGTGAAAATGCAATGAGCTAGGTTTTATTATGAAAAAAAAATATTAATTATTATCTAAAAATCAGTTGCCCAGAAATAATAATTAGTGGCGTTTAAATAAACACCGTAATATAACTCCGGTCATCGGAATTTTACAAGAAAGTCGTCGCTTCAGTATTTAATAAACGTCACTTTAATTTTTATGGCGTTTAATTATACGCCGATAATTTTTTCGACGAAAGCTTCGACACCGACAAATGTATGTTTTCTTGTAGTGACAGCCCCCGCCCCTCTGTTAGCCCCACCTCCACCTCCACCCTTCCTCTGGTAGAATTGTGGATCCAAGAAGTCAAGGAGTCACAATTGATGGGGCAATCTCACAACCAAAATCACAATCACAATCACAACCACAACGACATAGATACTAGAGACTATGTACACTTAATTTAGACAGGCTCTGTCTTGGATGAATTTGGGTACTGATAAGGAACCAATCTATTTTACATGTATAAGCAATAAAGGGCATCATTACGGCTTGTCACAACCAAGTCAACCCTCGGTAATTCTCTCTCTCTCATGTTTGTTCATATCTTATTGCATAGTGTTTGACACACAAGCAGTTTAGTGGAATTTATTCAATCACCAAAAAGATGGACATAAATCAAGTACGGCACGTCACAACATTATACTATTTTTTTAACCTTTCAAAAAAAAAATAATAAGTTAATTGCACCGGAAATTTTCAAAGTGTAAAATTTTTATTTCATTTTAGTCTATAATATTTCAATTGTATTATTTTGATCCCTAAAATATTGAATATGCTTATATGTTATCTCTCAAATAAATAACATCTAAATTATTAACAGTTTTTTATTATAAACTTGTCACGCGATATTTAAATATGAGTAAAAATAATTTGAGTAGCTCTTGATCAAAATTTGAGAAACTTTTGACCAAAAATGTATAATATAGGTAGCTCTTGACCAAAATTTAGATATCTCATAATTAAAGCGTTTAATTTAGGTAGCTATTTACTAAAATTTGAATAGAAATTTGATCAAAAGTTATTTAAATTATCTTTTTACCCATATTTAAGTATTACGTGACAAGTTTATAGTAAAAAAATCGTTAGCAATTTGGACGATGTCTACTTGAAGGATCATATAAAAATATATTCAATATTTCAGAGATTAAAATGATGTAATTAAAATATTGGAGAATAAAATAAAATAAAATAAAATCTATACTTTTGGAGACCTATAGTGCAATTAGCAAAGAAAAACAAAAATGCCATACATGACTTTTAAGAGGTGCAATTCGGGCAGGTTGAGACCATATATATCGTTTTGATTCTCCATCATACCTCTCACTAGTTATTGTCTAGTATAATTTATAGTCTCAAGTTTACATTATCTTTTGGGCTCATTTGGTATGTGTATTACGAGGGAATTAAATATTAAATTATATTATTTTTTATTTAATCGGGCCTAATATTTTATTTAGTAAGTAAATTTGATATCGTATTAATTTTAAAAACATATACTAGTAATTTAATTATTATATATTTTTTATACGATAGACTTTTATTATGAAGGTATTCTAATACCACAAAAAAATGTGATATTATAATCCCATTAAAACGTATTATTCTACATATTTACTATTATAACCCTCAACCGATAAAATCAAGTTGTCATCAATGTAATAAATACTGATAGAGGATATTTTTGTTAATTTAATACTAATACGATAAAATAATTCTTTAATCAAACAACTAATTGAATTAAATAGCTGTTATCAAACGTTTATATTGTGTATTGTCAAAAACTAGATAAAATTACGTATTATTCTAATACCTTATTTAATCTTATCTTTTATCCATCTGTATTATATTATACTAGATTACTATACCGAATTTATCCATTTTTAATATGACAATCAAACAAGTCCTTTAAGTATTATGTATGGGACAGAGGGATTATTTGTACTTGGAGAAACCGAGGGCACCTAGCATCTAACAACTATGTGATCCATTTGGGATTCTTCTCATCGTTTACACGTAGGTATCAGCTTGTCTAATGATCAGCATTAGTCTAAGATTCCAGGCCTACACAAAGGGTTGGTGTGGCATATATGCCACCATAAGGTTACATAGTAGTTTCAATTAAAGCTCAGCTTGGCAGATACATTTTAGATGCCATGCAGTGCTCTCTTCTCAATTCTGTGGTTGATATTTAGCTCCATGGTCTCACCCAACCTTCTACGCTCAACCGTCGCCCCTTGTGAGACGATCAACTAGAAGAATAAAGAGATTCATTGGTCGGAGTATGGCGAACTGGAATCTGATGTGTGCGTAGTGATTTTTGCACAATAAAAAAATAGACAGATCTCTCTTTTGGTGAACTTGCGATTATTTGGAAAGTTGACGGTCCTGTGGCGAACGGATGCGAAAAGTGATATAAGGAGCAGTGATGAATTATTTTTTCAGCAGTTTGAGCGATTCCGACATGTCAAGATGGATTTTGTCGCTCAGAAAGAAAGGTTAGAAGGGCGCCAATGTGTTTTTTAGCGTGACCCCTCCGATGATCAAGTTAATATATGAGAGAGGGGAAGAAAAAACACTATTCTATTGTCTGAATATGATTTGCATACCTTTGCTTTTAGTTTTTGAGAGTTACTTATACCTCCTAAAGGTAATCATTGTGGACAGGTGAGCCCCTCGAAGAAGAAGTCTCTCATTGCCCCATTTGGGAGGCAACAAGCGGTGCTCAATCCTTTGGCAAAGTGTCTTCCAATTTGTGTGGAAGAGACTTAGGCATTAAATGCTCATACTCCTGAACACTTAATGCTCTTCTTTTGAGACAACTCAAATGTTCAATACGTCCCATCCTTCTGAGGAAGGTATTTAAAGCATTCATGTGATGGCTGCGCATGAGTAGGGACATTTTTGTCTATTGACTCCTAATCATATGCCATGTGCTTCGTGTAGCATTATCAATCTGCTCCCTTTGCCATTCTGACTGCTTTGGGAAGGCAAGTTGATGATTATTGACCAATCTCCACCTCAAGTAGTGATAACCGTCAATCCTCCACCCATACCTCTGGGCCTTGGAGCCAAGATGACGTGTTTGGGAATGGATCTTGGGGGTGTTATCCATGCTGAGGACACGTGTCAACCGTAGATGGAGCCAAGGGACTTGTAGCGCCGAGGACGTGTGTCACAATAAAAGCACTCTGAAGGGGGTAAAAATGCCGAGGACACGTGTTACTCACAGAACTCTGCAGTGCCTTTAGTGCCAAGGACATGTGTCACTATCTAAGCACTCTGAGAGATGTTGTGCTGAGGACACGTGTCGACTTCCTGCTGACTCTCAAAATTGTTCCATCATGATGATTCATACAAAATGATAGATAGAAGAAGAAGTTGGATATGGCAAAGGCCATGTAGCCAAATCACAACTCGGTACATAATAATAAGGTACGAATCGATAATAATACTTCGGATGAGTTGATCGAGAAGCCTCTGATTTAACCTCGAGCCGAGTAAGATGATTCACACGAAATGATAGATAAAAGAAGAAGTTGGATATGGTGAAGGTAATGTTGCTAAATCACAACATGGTATACAATAATAAGGTACAAGTCGATAGCGATACCTCGAATGAGTCGACCGATAAGTCTTCGAGTCAATCGAGAGCTGATTGAGACTTAGTTTTATAGGAATGTGGAAGGCACGAGAACATAAAGTGCCAACTCGGATACGACATTGCTGATTCTTTAAACATTGGTTTGCAACATCAAGTTTGGAACTTTGTAGTTGCACCAAAATCAGCAGATTGTTTCATTTTGCTGGTCAAATGGCAAACAACTAGATGAGTGCTTACTTTCTCAATATGTTCACTACTACGCCTTTGCATTTGCATATATATATATATATATATATATATATTAATTATCATTTAAAGGTGGATCCTCTCTAACAGTCTGGTGTTTTCCTTCGTCAGAGGCAAGTTTGTCATATGAAAATCAAGATCCATAATTCAGTTTTTCAGGAAAAAACGAGACTCAAGACAAAACTGTGTAACTGTGTGTAATTTGGACTCATGACCAGAACGGACATGCACGAAATTACATGCATATCAAGTCAAACAAGATGTCTATTACGAGTTTTGACCTTTTAGTGTACTGCAGTGCATATGCCATCTTTTTAAGCAAAAGAATGTCGAATAAATTTGTTCCAAAACATGCTGGATTGAAAACGATATAGTCATTTTTTTTGGGTTCAAGGAAGTACCGAGCTTCTTACAATACCAGATAATCCTCCTAGCAGCAGTAACACAAGTCTCCAAAGAACATGGAGTCGAGGTGATATTGTTCTAGAGCATCCATCAATGGCTGCATCCAAAAGAAGTCGGATGGAAAAAAGGCTTCAAGCAAATCATACACAAACAAGAGATTACTCCAACTAAGAATGGGCGAAGGAGCAAGCAAAATGGCAAGAATGGCATACAACTCAGTAAAGCCATAGTTACAAGAGCTCAAAACAACTGTTGGACAGAACAACGGCCTAAACAGCAGTGGACCAAGCAATATTGTAGCCGATTAGAACACATATATGACAGCCGATTAGAAAATGAAATAAGCAGAGGCAAATGATAAAGTCAAAAACACCCACATTATACTCTTTAGCTGTTCCTTTCATCACATTAAGAGCAATCAAAGTTCCACAATGATGGTCAACCATCCCAAGCAAACTAAAGCCATGGGCAAAAGAAGAAAATTCAGAAAGCAAATGAAAAGGAAAACCCTCCTCCAATGTGCATGACGATATTGATCCTGCACTCTCCAGTCTGATAATAAGTTATACACCATCTACATACAACAGTTCCG